CCGGTGAGATTTGAACAGCCGAACTGCTGAACTGCAGTCAGCTGAAGTAGCCTGCAGTGCTGCATTTAACCACTGCGCCACCTCGGCTCTTACCATTACCATTGAAAACCTACAAAGTCTTGAGACAAAGTGAAAAAAATGTCAGAACAAGACATTCACACACTTATATTAAAATAATTTCAATGAGGAATCAGCCTTGCTGTGTACATTACTCTGTCAAATGCCATGAAACATACACTAGTTTTAATATCACCACGCCCAGGGGTGAAATCACTCACATTGCTACCGGTTCAGTAGCAATGTGAGTGCACACACATGTGCAGAGCATCATAAACAGATGTGATGACATCCAGGTAGGTGGGCGGAGCTTGCTACCGACCATGCCTGCAAAGATAAGTGAACAGCAGGGGGGGGGGGAGAATCCGCTGTGCCACACAATTTAGATTTAGCTAGAAAGCAGGTAATCCTGCTTTCTAGTTAATATAAATTGTGTGTCACAGCTGATCATCGGAAATACTGGTTTGCCTGAACTGGTAGCGCTTTTTTTTACTACCGGTTCGAGTGAACCGGTAGCATTTTTACTACCGGTTTGGGTGAAACGGTCCGAACCGGTAGCATTTCACCCCTGACCAGACTCCAGGCATGAGGCAATCTTCCATCATGTGAAACTCCATCCCTTATTTTAAAGTATCATTATTCTTGAGCATCAGGGTAATTCACAGAAATATCCTATATATTTTTGGAAATGAAGGGTTCATAATATTATGTAAGAAAAATAGCAAAATGCTATTGATATGATATGGATATGATGTACTTTCTTATCAATCAGTTATGATGAAAGTACTACTTTTCACAAAATATAACAAAATCATGAAAGGACTGGGCAAAGAATTTCACAAGATTTGATGTTTTTGTTTAATTATGCCTTTTTTTAAAAAAAAATGCTGTTTCCACCATTGGACAAATTATGACACTTTCAAGTGCCAGGAAGTTGCTAGTCATCATTAGAACATTTTACTCAAAATAGCATATCTTCCTATCCAATAGATTTTCTTAAATATCCTTGTTTTGGACATTTGTCATGATTTAGCATATTACAATTTTATATAGATATACATAATGATAGTAGACAATAAAGCCAAGGTGGCGCAGTGGTTAAATGCAGCACTGCAGGCTACTTCAGCTGACTGCAGTTCAGCAGTTCGGCTGTTCAAATCTCACCGGCTCAGGGNCTGAAAGCCCTATGAAGCGGTATATAAGTCTAACTGCTATTGCTATTGCAATAATACATTTGTACAGTATATGGGTAAACATACATATTCTCTTAGTGTAACAAAGGTAGGATTACTACGCTTGACCAGCACAAGATGGAAGCAATGACATACAGAAACCTAATTCTTAAGTGCCATCTACTGGACCTCTTTTAATCTGGATTCAAGACAGGGTACAATAGTGAGGAAGCACGGGTCGTATTTGCAGGTGACCTTGGTGAGTTTGAGAGTGGAGTGGTGAGAGTGTTTTGCCTTCATGCCTCTCTCAGCAGCTTTTAATACCATGGTAATGGAATCTAATGGATCAAACAATTAAAAGTGATAACGGGAAGTTTGTGCCATCACATTTTCAAAATTCTGTTAATGTAGCCTTACACTAAAGTAGAAATTCATCGTGTTTTGCTTCGCTTGTATCCCATCTTTATTATTTTTACAAATAACTCAAGGCAACAAATTATCCAACATACCTTCTTCCTCCCATTTCCCCCCACAATAATAACCCTGTAAGGTGGGCTGGACTGAGAGAGGGTGACTGGGCCAAGGTCATCCAGCTGGCTTTCATGGCTAAAATGGGACTAGAACTCACCTCCTGATTTCTAATCTGGTGCCTTCATCAGTAGTTCAAGCTGTCATTCTTGTTCCTTGTCTGGTTTACCTGAGGGATCTGACAACCATCAGCCAGGGTTATCCTTCTAAGTTGGCTTTGGGGATTAGAAGTGGGAGACACTGTTTTGTGGTGGTTCTCCCCCTTTGTCCAGTTTCAGTCAATGCTGGTGAGGAGAGAAAAGTCAAGCTTTGTCCGAGGGCTCGGTCTCTCTTTAGCATTTATATGAAACTATTGGATGCGTTCATTCACCAATATGGATTGTGGTACCAATCAGTGTGCTGATGATTCCTAGTTATATATCTCCAACTCTGGCTGGTCAAGTGATGCTATCACAAATGCTGACTAACTGCCTGGAGACTCTGAGAGTCTGGATGGTGAGGTACCAAGTTCAACTCAACCCTGGCAAAACAGAGTCGCTGTGGGATTTGTTTTTTTTTGGCCCTGGTTAGAGGTGGGTTCCTACCAGTTCGCACCTATTCGGTAGAACCGGTTCATCAAATCTACCAAACCGGTTAGAAGAGGTTCCACCAGTGGACCCGGA